CCTCTCGATGCGCTGCTGCAGCCGCTGCCGCCCCCGGGGGCGCGAGAAGGCGCACACACACGCACCTGTATCCCGCTGCATTCGTAGTCCGCTGCATTCCGCCGTCTCTCTTCCGCTGTGTGTCCACTGCTCATTCGTATCCCCTCGACATTCGTGCGGTGTGCTCCGACCCGAAAGCACAAGGCGCGGTGTAACGCTCGCGGGCCCCCCCCCCCCCCCCCTGACCTTGGGGTGTTCATCGATGGGAGGCGTACCAGGCGCACGCGCGGCTTGCGGAGGCGGACACGGAGGCGGACATGGAGGCGCGGGCGGTCGAGGGGCACGGCGGCCTCGACGTCGCGAGCTCTGCTTCCCCGCGGGAGGAGGTGGTGAAGCACTCACACACCGCTCACCCACGCGCACTGGGCCTTGCACTCTGAATGGCGTGCGGCTCCGGTCCCTTTTAGACGGGGGGGGGGGGGAGGGGGAGCTGGCCTGTAGTAAGCAACCTCATCAAAATATATTACCTCAGGTGGGGCATCAGTCGCGGCAGCTCGTGACAGTGGTCAAAGGCCGGGGGCGAGTCGCGGCGCCGAGAGCGAGGCCGGCTTCGGCGCCGCCGACGGTGCTTCCGGGCAGCGAGTCGGCCGACGTCGAGGAGGAGGAGGAGGTGTGGGAGGAGGAGGAGGGCGGGGAGAGGAGACCTCTCTCCCCCCGGCCCGTACCACCGGGTGAGGAGAGCGAGTCTGGGCCGCAAGGCTGGGCCGCTCTCAACGCCAGGTCTCTCAACGTCCGGGCTCGGCAGATGGCGAACGCCCTAATGAGCGGAACGCAGCTCGACGCCGACCCAGCAGCCGTCGCACGGGCGGCGCGGGCGGCGGGGGCTCAGCAGGCCAGGATTAGAGAGCGCATCTACGTGGATTAGAGAGCGCCTCTCGGGCAGCGCCGGCGGCAACATCCGACGCACGTTTCAAAGGCGATCAGATCAGTGTACTTGTGTGACGTGTTGTTGCTATCTCGGGGCTCGGGCGGCCGTGGGTGTTCGGCATTCTTCATACTTTGTTTTTTTATTGACATAATCACCAGAATGTGCACACCTATGCAGAAACCTAACCTCAAAAGACAAAAGTCAAAACATTAAACATGCACAACTGCTTTTTACTCGACCCGAGTCCTCCCTCCCCCGTCCCCCGTCCCTGCTGCGCCGCTCCCGCGTCCGCTCGAGGTCGAGCGGTCGGCATGTTGTGCGAGTTTGTGTGTGTAATGTGTATGTGCCGTGTGTATGTAGGCTGGTGAAGTCTGAAGAACAGTCAGGCGCTCGGACTGGACACCAGCGCGGTATGGGTGGACGCAAGACAGATGATGACGACACGCTCGAGCGACACACAGACACAAACAAGCTCACAAGACACACAGCCAGCGGGCTGCCACACACCCTGAGTGGGCGTACACATCACTCAGGGCCACGTCCCCCCTGTCGCCCCCCCCGCAGCACGCACGGTGCCAAGAGCAAGACAGCACAAATGCAGCTACTCGTGTAGGCGCGAGCCTTACACTCAAGATAAGCTTGCGTGGATACGTGGCTGGCAGGCTGACCCGTGTGCGGGGTCACCCGCGCACGTGAAACTGAAAGCTTCATGGGTTCGAGTCGTCAAACATTGAGCAGCGGAGGTGTGCCGAGGGGGGCCGGGAGGCGGTAAGTCGTCGTCGCCCGGCGCTGCTACCTTGCAGCACCATGGCGATGACGCTAAGAGCTTCCTCTTTTCCGCCCCCCCCCCCCCCCCCCCCCGCAAGGCGCGCGATACACACATGTACATATGTTGTAGGCGCCGCTCCCGTTGGAGCATGCACATCCCACATCATGCACATGCAAGCGCATCTGCCACACATGTGCATGCGCATGTGCATGTGCATGTGCATGTAAGATGTATCGTCTATCGATCCACGATCGGGATCGCATGCCACATGCATATCTCACTTCTCAGCACTCAGTCTCAGGTGACGACAGCAGACACGCCTGCTGCTGGTCACACGCGCTCGCTCGACACTACGCCTAGGACCCACTCACAGGTGAGACTCGCTGACAGAATACCCCAGGCCCTTCATCGCCGCGAGGTTCTGTTTGTTAAACGAGAGATTCCACAGCGCCCGCACCGCTCCCGCCGCCGCCGCCTCCATCTGCCCGCAGCGAGCCAGAGCCACAAGCGGCGGGATGCCGCCCGCCTTCGCGATCGCCGCCTGGTTGTCGGCGGAGCACGCGAGACTCATCAGCGCCGCCGCGGCATACTCCCTCTGCCACTTCGTCCCACTGCGCACCAGCGCCACGAGCGGCGGGATGCCGCCCGCAGTCGCAATCGCCGCCCGGTTGTCGGCCGACGTCTCTGACATCCCTGCGGCCAGTATCGCCAGCGTACTCGTGGCTGTCAACTTCTGCCCGTCTGTGCCGCCGCGAGCCAGCGCAATCAGCGGCGGGATGCCACCCGCCATCGCTATCACCGCCTTGTTGTAGCAGGAGTTTGTCGCGAGGCGCCCCAGAAGAGCGGCGGCCGACTCCTTCTGCTCGTCGCCTCCGCTGCGCAGATGCCCCACCAGCTTCAGCACGCTGGCGCCTGCCAGCACGCTGTCGCCTGCCAGCACGCTGGCATCTGCGAGCGCCTCTCCGCGCTTCATGCCGGTGCTCGACATCGTGCCCGCAGTCCCGCCCGCTCTCGAGGTAATCTTCCGCAGGCTCATTACGCCCCGGTTCCCCAAGAATTCAACGAAAAGAACTCTCTCTCCGCCAAGAATTTTACAACAAAACTCCTCGCACAACACTGGGCACGGGACTGGCGCGCACTGGCACTAACACAGGTACACCACGGGAGCCGCCTAAGCGACTCCTGCGAGGGTGGCGAGGCACTTAGCTCCGTGCACCCGCCCACCCCCGCCACAGGCAAGCTCATTCACGACCTGCTCTGCGATGGCCGTGTGAAGAACGACTGAGATGCGCTGCTTCTGCAGCCCCAGCCAGCTCTTGGTGGTCCAAGTCACCTCATCGAGGTACTGGGCCCGCGTCAGCTTGTTCTGTAGCACGTCCGCCGCTCTCCGGAGGATCTCACGGACCCCCTTTCCGAACCCGCCGAACGATTCGAACAGCAGCAGCTGCACTTCGACGCCCTTGTCTTCCCTGGCGTAGCGATAATCCCCGCCGTAGGACGGTATGCGGCGGTCGCCGCCCACCACCCTGCCCCCCCTGGTATGCCAGCGCCCAGTCCCTTGCCCTCTCTCGCCCTTGCTCTTCCTCTCCCCCTCCATGCCGCCCCCCAAGAAACTGCGGGATCGCCAGCGTACTCGTGGCTGTCAACAAAGGGTCCCCACGCAAGGATCGACCGCCCCAGCGATGCAGAGTGACTCACTGTGTGTGCTAAGACAGGATCTCCGCAGGCAGCCAAAACGGGCCGTGCCGCGTTGTTGGTGCCTTCTTTCTCAAGCACTAACTAGCATCCGGGCGCCGCATATTCTCGCTAGCGGGCGGGTAACCTATGTGGGCCCAGTGCGCACTAGGCGCATATGCTAGCGCTATCCTGCCCTATGGGAGGCAGAGGGAGGGGGGGCGGGGGGGGGGCAGAGGTAAGGTGGGGTGAGACTGGGGAGGTCCCGGCCGGCCCGGGGGGCCCGGGGGCCGCCGCCCGGGCCAGAGGACCTCAGAGGTCCTCCATGGGGGTGGGGAACAGGTCAAAGATGACGCCGGTCCCGCCATCGGCATCGCCGCCGACGCCGTCGCCCTCGACCGCCTCGGAGGCGGAGGTCGTCGGGCGGGGGCCGGGGCGTCATGCACATGTGCATGTGCATGTGCATGTTGTCATGTTGTTGTTGTGTGTGTGTGTGTGTGTATGCCACACACACACAAGGCAGCGGGTATAGCTCGCTTTCTTCCGTTGCTTGTTTGCCTTGATAGTGCTAGCACGCGCCAGTCCGCACCTGTGTCGAGCCTGTCTGCTGTGAGAGAGAGTTGGAGCACTTGGAGTTGGAGCACGGTTGCTTGGAGTGCAGTCATCAACCTCACATCCAGGGCCGGGGAGCTAAGGAGCGCACCCAGCGGGCCAGATGATCGGCATCGGGTTGCGGGCTAGAGAGCCCTAGCCCTGGGGGGTGCGCGTTCGCAGGGAAAGGGCCGTAAAGTAAACACGAGAATTTTACAAGTAAACACGAGAACCTTGTTAAATTCTTCTGACGAGCCTGTCTGCTGTGAGAGAGAGAGTTCTTTTGTTTAAATGCTTCTGTTTAGTGCCAGGGTTCGGACTTTTTGCGGGGTATGGTAGGGTAGGGTCGCGCAACCCACCTCGAGACCATACCCCCCCGCCAGCTGACAGACCCAGCCTCCCGCCGTCTGTGCCGACCCACCTTCGCCTCCACCGCCCTCGCCTCCGCCTTCCCCCTCGCCTCCACCCTCTTCCTCGCCCTCCCCTCCGCCCTCCGCCTCGCCCTCGCCCCCGCCCTCCGCCTCGCCCTCCCCTCCAACCTCCGCCTCGCCCTCGCCCCCGCCCTCGCCGCTGGACGACGACCCAGTGTCACCTCCACCAATTCCACCGCCCCCAGCCGACTCCGACAGCGACGGCATCCCGAACGAGGCTGATCCGGACTCGGACAATGACGACGTTCCTGACACCACGGAGGGCACGGGTGACACGGACAGCGACGGCATCCCCGACTACCTCGACCCCGACTCGGACGGCGACGGCATCATGGACGCCGAGGAGGGCACGGTTGACACGGACGGAGACACCGTTCCCGACGCCACGGACCCCGACTCGGACGGCGACAACATCCCCGACGCCACCGAGGGCACGGCTGACACGGACGGCGACAACGTTCCCGACGCCAAGGAGTCCAACACCAAGGACACAGATAGCGACGGCCTGCCTGACGCGGAGGACACGGACTCAGATGGCGACAACATCCCCGACGCCGCCGAGGGCGCCGCCGACACGGACAGCGACGGCATCCCCGACTACCTCGACCCCGACTCGGACGGTGACGGCATCATGGACGCCGAGGAGGGCACGGTTGACACGGACGGAGACACCGTTCCCGACGCCACGGACCCCGACTCGGACGGCGACGGCACCCCCGACGCCGAGGAGGGCACCGGCGACGCTGATAGCGACGGCATCCCCGACGCCAAGGAGTCCAACACCACGGACACGGACAGCGACGGCCTGACTGAGGCGCAGGACCCTGACTCGGACGGCGACAGCATCCCCGACGCCGCCGGGCACCGCCGATACGGATGGCTGCCCCGGTTTTGGGTTGCTCGCTATTGGCGAGATGATCAGGGGCTATGATCGCACTGTCACGGTGGCCAACGATGGCGCCTGCTGTGAGCTGGGCGGCAGCAACGCAGCTTACTGCGGCTATGACGAGGGGACTGACAGCTGCACCTTCTACGTTGGATACGCTTGCGGGCTGGCCAAGAAGGTGGCGCGAAGGCTCTCTGAGGCCCAAGAGACCTCGACGACGACCTACTTCAAGGTGAAAGACGCCGACAGCGACGGCATCCCCGACTACCTCGACCCCGACTCGGACGGCGACGGGTCGCCCGATGCGGAGGAGGTCAGTGGCGACTCGGACAGCGACGGCATCCCGAACGAGGCTGACCCGGCTGGGGCAGAGAAAGACCCGTGCGAGAGAACCAGATGCCGCCTCGCCGCCGCCAGGTAGCACATGCACACACTGGCAAACACGAGACGTGCGCGGGTGAGCACAGGCGACCGCGCCTGGGACTCACGGGTGCGGCACGGGGACGCTCCCCCGACGTAGGCACCTCCACTTTGCGAGAGGCGGCGAAGCCGACTTCAGGGGGCGCGACGGCGTCTACTACAACTTCTTCTCGGCGCCAGGCTTTACCGTGAACGTCAAGACGGAGGAGAGCTGTACAACCGTGCAAGCCACAGCTGCAAGCCTTCCCTAAAGCTGAGCGCGCGTGTAAATAGGCTGCCACTTTCCGACTCCACAAGGAAAGAAAGCAGGATCTGATCGTGGACGGCTCCTTCATCACAGAGGTGCACGTCGTCGCCGGCGGCATCTCGTTGCCTGCTTGGGCGTGGGCCAACGCGTCCTGCTGGGCCAACCAGCTCGACGATCACAACACCGGTACCGCCCCCCTCTCCGCCCCCCCTCCCCACCCCCTCCCCTCCCACTTACCACCGTCAGCCTCAACACACGTTCATCACCCACCGCCTTCACTTTGGCTAGGCTGGCACGTGATCAATGGCACGTGCGCCAGCCGCCCGTTCCAGCTTGGGACTGGCGGCCACAAGGTCTGCGACGACCTCGACATCAAGATGAAGTGCTGCGCCATAGATGCGCGACCGCCCATGGGCTTGAGCGTCCCCTTTGTGCGTGATGCACCGCACTCTTGCCCGCCGTGCTGTGATGTCCAGCACATTGCCCGCCTATAGGTTCTCCAGTGCCGTCTTCAAGTACCGCGACGCCTGGGCCATCGTCGTGCGCGGCAACTACGTTTTTGATCGCAAAAGCGGGCCGAGCCACCGCCTCGATCTTGCATTCAAGCAGATTGGCGACGCGGCGGCGCGCTCCCTCCCGCACGGCATCATCGGGCAATCATTCTCCACCAACGGGCCGCGCCACGGCAAGCAAGACGTCTACCCCTCTTCCGGCCGCATCGCCACGAGCGCGATGGCGGAAGGGGCCATCGAGGGCGACGCCGCCATGTACGAGGTGGCGCGTCCTTACGCCACCGAATTCGCCTTCTCGCGCTTTATGAGCGCCGCTCCCGCCGAGGAGGCTTCGCCGAGTGGGCTGCTCCTCCCGGGCGAGGCTTCCTCGACCGCGCGCGGAGGGCGGTTCGGCGAGTAACACTCAGCAGGACTTTTGTAAAGCATGCCTGTCGCGTCGCTGGCCGCGATATGCTGACGCTTTACCTAGCGCCGGCCTGGCGCTGTAGCCGATTACCACGCACGTAGTAGTGCCTTGGTACACTATTCACTATTCCTTCGACGTACACCTACCGCTTTAACCTTACACGACACGGTCTCCTCTCCCTGCCTCTCGGACCGCGTCCCCGGGGTCAGGAGTCCGAGAGGATTATTTTTTCGGAGAAGGTGCCGGCTCTAGTGTTTTCATATCTCAAGCCGCAAAGTGTCCTAGAGCCGTAGTGCTAGTCCACGTAAAGTACCGACACGACAAGTGGAATCTCATGTCAGTGTGCATCAAGGGAGCATGGCCGTGTTCACGCTGCATGGCCCCTCCCAACTGCAACTCTCACGACTCAACCGGGGGACACGGACGCGTTTGACTGTGCGATCCCGCTAGGAGAGAGTCTGCGCGTCTAGAGCGCCCTCGGGCGCGCTCCCGCCACCTCGCCGTCCAGCCACGAGCAAGAGCGCGCACCGCGCCCCTCCTGCAGCCTCGCTGCTCACTGCTCACTGTCGCGCGCGTGCTCTCTGTCCAGAGCCATGCATGGGGGAGAGGGGCGGCGCAGCCCCCCTCCCCCCTCACCCCGCCCGCACCACCGGCGCCGCCGTCGCCGGCGCACCCCCGGCCTGCATCAGCGAAGTCGGCAAACCCGCCGCCGCGCTGGCCAAGCTCGATGCCGGCACGCTCGCCAGCGGCGCGCATGTCACCGTCGCCGCTGCGGCACTGGCGGCGTTGTGTGCGTCGACGGGGTAGGGCGGCTGCCGCAGCTCTCGCGGAGCATTGTCCGCGAAGAACTGCAGCGCCTCGTCGCCCCAAGGCAGTCCGGCCGTGAACAAGCCCGCCGACGAAAACAGCGACTGCAGGTCGATGGAGTGCGAGCCGACGTTGGCCGCGCCGTCGGGTGCCGCCACCCCGCCGTGCAGCGGCGCCAGCCCAGACTCGAGTGCGTCCAGCTGCGCCTGCAGATTCTCGACGCTCTGCGGCCGCGGCGCGACGGGGGCCTGCCCGCCGAGGCCAGCGGCGGAGAGGCTGCTGCTGCCAAGGCCGAGCGACGCAACGACGCTCGGGGGCACCTGTGGTGAGTGGACGGCTCTTGAATTCACACCGCGAACTGACTGACTAGCTGAGCGATGGTGAAAGCGGGCGCACCACGGCGGCGGGAGAGCGCGACGTGCTGCCGAACTGAGCCGCGGCGGCCGCGGCGGTGG